ATCGTTATTGAATTAGTCATTATTATTTATACATGTACAGTACATGGGTTTTTTCGCGATCTGCAAGCCACAATTATAATGTATTAGTGAACGTTATCGATTACTAATTTATTACAAGTGTTCAAGCGGGTATTACGATCCGACAATACGTATTAGCGTCAAAGCGATATTCTTATAACAATGACTAATTACTCAAACACGCGAATTTTTTACTAATTACCCCCAACCATGTCTTCACCTTGACTTCCCACGCAATGTATTTTGGCTTTGTGATGTTATAATAAAAAAAATATTATGGTATTGTAATTATTTATTTAGTCGAAAGCTATATAAAACCACCACGGCAAAAACAAATAATCTTCTTTTCACGTACAACCTACGATACACAACATGCGCGACACACAGCATTTTAGGACTAGGACTAGGACTAGGACTAGGACTAGGACTAGGACTTGACACTGGTATAAAATGTGTTGCGTTTAACTTGTTTGACATGCTTGACAATTAGAACGGACGAGACGGACAGAACGGATGGTAAAAAACTTGTGCTTATGCTTAACTTGCTTGACAGTTAGAACGGACGAAACGAATAGAACGGATGGTAAAAAACTTGTGCTTGTACTTAATTTGCTTGACAATTAGAACGGACGAAACGAATAGAACGGATGGTAAAAAACTTGTGCTTGTTGTACTTAACTTGCTTAATGATTAGAACTGATAAAATAGGCGGAACGAATGGTAAAAACTTGTGCTTCTTGTGCTTAACTTGCTTGACGATTATAACAGACGAAACAGGACAGAACGGATGGTAAAAACTTGTGCTTGCCGTGTTGCTTGCCGCTCGCGACTTGTTTATTTTCTATGCAATAGACCCAGAACGGCGGAAGCGGGCCGGTTGAACAACCCATCACCACGCTGCGGAAAAGCTTGGTATGAAGAGAGCCCTTGAGGAGAGCTGAGAACGACGGAAATTCATGGAGCGAAAGAGAAAAGTGTATTATTTTTTATTGTGTTGATTGTGATTTTTTATTATTGGCTCCAGAAATACCTAATGGATTTCTCGGGTCTTGGCATTGCTCAAATGTGAAAGCCAACTGATGAGTCCTGTGAGCTAGGACGAAACCCAAGAATACATAATGCTATGCAAGTAGACATGTAGCAAAAAAATCGAGACCAAATTTTATTATCACATTAGGACATCTCAATCATCAAAGCACTGTTTCTTAAAAGCTATTTTAATGCGGCTTCCTCCCGTCTTCCTTACGCAATGGAGCACCTTTTTCACTCGTAAATATTAGAGGCATATCACTTAAAGAATCGATTTCGATCGATATAGGTCGAGCGTGATGAAAATTCGCGATAAACGAGATAAATCGTTAAGTGACGAGAAAAATTTGTACAAGGTATTTTTATGGCACCTTATTGATTTTTATTTCTAAATGACATTTTAATAAATAAATGATCAATAACGAAAAGTTGGAAGAACAACTTGACACGGCCACAAAAGACTACGATTATTTCAACGACATTTTAAAAAAAGAACAACCGCAATTTTTCGAATATCGCACCCGATCATTGAGGAATTCTATCACATGCAACTGAAAATCTATGGTCTTTTGCTGGACCGGATGGACCGATTAGTGGACACCGGATACTTCTGATATATGAACGGGTTTGATGAGTGACGTGAGATATTCAGGAAAAGATAGAAGTATTGACGCTGCTTGGACGACGAGCAAAACATGAGGAACGACGTAATGTGGTAATAGTGGTAAGAGTGGTAAGAAGGATAGGGGATTATTTTAATTAATATTTTGCTTCGTTCTTGCGAGCAGACTTACAAGTTGAACAATCACAACCACGACCGTTGAATTTACGATCATCAGGCAGTTCGAAAACACGTATAACCGGCACAGAATTAGTAGATAAGATAGAGGAATACGACCACGAAGACGACGTGCCACCGCCGTACACAGCTTCGCCTACTGATTATACATCAAGGGGCATAAATAACAACAATGAAAGTAGTACTATCGTTAGCAGAGTTGCTAGTCTTCGTAATAATTTCAATAATGATAACAATAGTAGAAATGCAAAGTTAGCGTCCGCCGCAATCATTAGGCCCAAAAAACTACCGCCACCCCCCCCCCAACAAAACCAGCCATCAAATACATGATAGCACTGTATGATTGCGATGCACAGGCGGATGGCGATTTGACTTTTAAAAAAGGATGACCGTATTCAGTCGGTTGAACGGACTGAGGATAAGAATGATTGGTAGACGGGGAGACTTAATGGTGTGGTTGGCGTGTAATTATTTTCATTATTTTTATGTCATTTGTTGTTATTCTAAATCTAATTTATGAAATTATGTTGAAGAACTTTGAACAAAGCAAACAATATTTGGTGTTTGTAAACGTAATTAATCAAACTGCATTATACTTATTTTATAATAACTATTGTGATTAAATCTTATTACATCGTGTTTTGGAGATGCGTTAAAGCGTTGTACCCACGTGACCTCTTGGGCATTACAATTAAAGGTTGATTTTAAGATTAGGGTTAGGGATAGAGTGGAGGACAAAGTTATATGTAAAATTGTCTTCCCAACATTTTTTAATAGTGTTCCAAGATAGATTTAGGTATCCGTTTTCGTATTTTTTCATTTTTTCGTTCGCGCTTCGGATTTGTCTCGCCGGGCTGATTAAAAGTTTACGCACCGTTATTAGTTTGTGTTTTGGACTGATCACTGAAGGTGCAACGCTTTAACCCATTCCCAATCATATTTGTGCCCACCTAGTGTTTAAAGCAGATTAGGATGCGCCAGCGCATAGCTGGCTAGCTGATTCAGTCGAGCTAATTTCTTCGATGCGGAGCAAGTCGATCTCTGAAAAATTTCCAAATCAGTAAACTAATCAAATTATCGTGTCGTGTTAGTTATTTAGAGTTTATGTATTACAATAGTTAAATCAAAAACCATTCGCGTTTTTTTCTAATGAATCAAAAATCCAAAACTACCTTTATTAATTATGATGGCGAAACAGCATGATGAATATGACAATCAACTAATAAACCACTCTTACGGAAACATGGTAACCAAACACCACCATCTTTTTCTATTTTTACAAATCCATACCCTAACAATCAAGCATCAAGTTCATCTGTTTTTAGTGATCAAGTGTCAAACATCAAATTCCTCAAACATTCCTATAAAGAGAGTCCATTCACAAATAAAGAGAGTTGTGTACGATTAAATTTTAAAGAGAACAGAATTACAAAAAAAGTTATTTGTCAGCTAACTATTAAAAATCTGCAAAATAATGAAGATAATGAGAATATATTATGATGCAAATACATAATGCTGGTATTTTGTTTAGCATCATCAGTATCAGCAATATTAGCAACACTAGCATCATCAGTATCAGCAACAACAGTACCAGCAACAACAGTAGCAGTATCATCGAAAACAGTTTCAGTATCGACGAGTCATGCTCCAGCATCAGCAACAATAACTGTAATGGCAACAAGCCAATCCTCAGACATTTCTACTAAACTAGCCCTGATAGTTAGCCTTTTTCTGGCTGGAGTTATTGGAATTGTTGATGGGTATTTGGCTTGGAAGAAGTTCAGAAAAACCAAGCAAATGCTCACCAAGTAATTGACTAATAATAGGGAATGGGTTTTTTATCCCTCCTCTATTAAAATAATTTTCTTCCCAATTGCTCTTAATAATTCGACAAGAAATAAAACGTTCAAGTTGTTATATCATTATTTCTTTGTTCCAATCAAGAATATCATTAGGTGATAACGAGATCCACTTGTACAAGTTTAATAAAACAAGCTTTTTTCTTATTAAAATAGTAAATAGATGAGAAAAGTATAAAAATTATTGGATGGCGAGGAATTACTGATGGTAAAAGAAGAGGTCCACGGTAATTCTTTGTCAGGAAAATGGTTTTCTTAATTTGATAATTATAAACGAGTAGATAAACTTATTGAGAAAGAGAATTGGCTTGACTATTATTGATGTTCTTTTTTGTCACATTGAAAATTTATCCTAGCTTATGAAAGCTTAAAGGTAAATCAGCAAAAAAACCAGACCTTACCGAGATATGAGCAAGCGAATACATCATAATAATATGAAAAACAAGTTAAAAAGATTCTGTGTACTCGTAGGATTAAATTAGATTGCTAACCAAACTAACGATTATTCTAGACAAACCGAAAACAATAAAAATAAAAATAAAGAATACTTGGAGAAGTCAAAATCTCGATAAGATAGTTGAGTCGGAGATCAGCCTAGGCGAAATGGTGAAATATACTGACGAGACCTTGAACACCGAAATACTAGCCAAACTAACAAACTAAATAAAACCCCAGCCACACTTTCAGCATTGCTGATTAATTCTTGACCATACGGGAGTTGCTACAGTCAAAATTATCTATAAGGCAGTCAATGGGCTGATCCAATCAATACCTTATTCGAATATCAGATGGCTGATTTTATATGTAATATATATTTGTACCGCGAAATTTCGTCCTTTAAATTAGATCACTCAAAGTTGAAAGAAGTTATTTTTTTTGAATCTTCACAAGTATTAGAGTTTTGAAGACATCGGAAAGTAACGTCCAATTTGGATGTGTAACATCAACATAAATTTAACGTTAAACGTTTTCTCCTTTTTGTTATTGTTGACTGCAAATTTTTTTTTATTTCTTTCTTCGACTTTTAAACATACACTGGGCAAATTTTTTTGGCTGTAAATGTAACACACACCACCTCCAGTTGACCGGCTTTGACGAGGGTAAAATGGTATTTTTATTGGGGTTTTGAGTGCCGTGCAGAAAAATGAGCCGTGCTCCGGATGACAGGATAATGGTCTCCTGCCGAACACAAGAGAAATAGGAAAAAAGAAAATTTACCAGGGTCTGGAAGGTCACAAGCTCTTAACAAGCAAGAAAAAATGCACATTTACAAGAAGCCAAAAAAAAGACAACCTAAGCCATTTCGTGATATTGTCAACAAAAAATCTTTGTAAAAATTTACCCGAAGATTCTTTAAGGTAATTTCATCCTTTTTCATAGTATATCATGCTCATTAATTTGAAAACATATGGCGTTTCAGCTTAACCCTAACCCTAATTCTAAAAAGATCACGAAATAGGTTCAAGAAAAGAATATTAATGATTATGAACCAATTAACGTATACTCACAGACTGGCTTCATAGAACATTTAGAAATCATTGTAGAACAATATTCTAAAATGTAAAAGCTTTTCTAAAACTGTGAACAAGTGTAGTCAAAATTTAACGTGTTAGTTTGGGAAGGTTGTGAGCTCGATACCGTAAGGAATCGAGGTGATATTGAAGCCATATAGAGGGTGGGTAATGTATTAGTTAATGGTAAAAAAATTTTATGTATATAAAGCAAAAATGAAATAAATCGAATATATATCTAAACTTTCATTTTAAAAAAAATCGGACGTTACTTTCTGTGGCGACTGTACATATCGATATATAGTAAAATTGGTAATTCTTTATTAATTATTCATCAATAATATTAATTGGCTTTGGATGAATCCTCTTAGCTTTTTAACAAAAAAACCAATAGACATAATAAAATGAATTAAGAAATCTTCACATCATTAGCTATCAAAAATATACATTTATTAGTAAATCTACTGTATCGAGTGGATTTTATTAGAGGCAGTTTTGGATATTATCCACTATATCGTGAGTTTAATTAGTCTCCACTATAAAGGGAATACACTATAAAGAGACTCACTGTGTAATACGTATATGAATTTGTTAGAGCATTTGCTATAAATTTTTGGCAAAAAACCTTTATTATAGAACTGACAATAGCTTAAATTTTGAAATTGGTATCGGTATACGTAGATCTACGACTCACTCTCGTCATCGTTATAACGAGCTCTCGATATAATAAAACTCATAGTGGTCACATTCACTATAGCAAGAATTACAATAACGATAATACATTCTTCGTTCTGTGCTGATAAAAATGAGGTTTAAGCGCCAAAGAGATCGCAACAAATCTTTTTTACGAGTAAATTTCTTTTTGACCCTTCAAATATAGAATTAAGATTAGGGTTAGTGCTGGCGGTTAATGTTGGCCTAAGGCAAACACGTAAAGCATTACCTGGATTATCAAATACAACATATCAAAAACTGTTATATATTTACATAACCTAGTTTATCATGGTACAAACCCAGAAACAAAAAAGTCAAGAGATTATTACCTCAGGAAACAATAATGGGATCAACAGGAACAAGAACTGTAACAGAATCATTAATCACAGTATAGCAAGTCATGACGCAAATTATGTTCCAACATCAGCAACGATAATTGTGACAGCAACAGTAGCCAATCCTCGGATACTTCTGCTAAACTAGCCTTAATAGTTGGCTGGAATTATTGGTATTGTTTGTGAATATTTGGCTTGGAAAATATTCAGAAAAAGAAAAAAGATATCGAGACGCCGTTATAACGAGAACCGCTTATATATATAAGTTTAATAAAAAGCTCTTTTCTTATTAACTTGCCAAAATAGTAAATAGACGAGAAAGGTATAGAAAAGCGAGTAAAAATTAGTAAGATTGTTGGATGGTGAGAAATTTACTGATGGTAAAAGACGAGGTCTACGGTATTCTTTGACAGGAAACTGGTTCTCTTAATTGATAATTATCTTTCAATACTTTAATTAAAAATGTTATCACAAAAACTAAATATGAAAGCCAAAAAACTTACTTTTGAGAACTGGAAGAACTAATTAATTATCTACGAGTAATATGAGACGGAGGATATTCTTTTTTGTTATGTTGAAGATTTACCCTTAAATAGCTTATGAAACCAACCTTTTCCCTTAAAAATTTAAACCAGCAAAGAGATATGAACGAGCGATAACAAACAATATAAAAAATAAAAAAGTTGCCAATATGAATTGTGAAATGCAATGCAATCAGAAAAATCCAGCGTGCTAGTAGAGTGTTATACCATCCTGAAGGCTTAACTGCTCAAGAACTTGCATTGCATCATGCGTGCTTACAGAATATTCGAGAGGAGATGCGTCAGGTTAATAATGCATAGGCTTATATCTAAATAATACTTTACACGTTTATTCGATATCATATTAATTTATTTGAAATATAATTTATT